ATATTTTCCATTTCGCCCCCAGTTATGTTGCTGGGCATATAAGCTTCGCTCAATATTTTCATCAAGGCATTTTTGTGTGCGTCAGAGCTCTGTAGAAGAAGCAACACAAGAGCCCAACGAGATTGCTTCGACCGTTAACCTTCTCGACGCTGCACTTTCTCTATCCCCTCGTTTTGAGTTAGCACTCGAGTTAAAAGCTCGATCTTTACTCTATCTCTGGCATTTCAAGGAGGTCGCCAGTATGTTACAAGACTACATTCCCAGTTGATAATGGTGGTTGTATTCGTAAGGAAGATACTAGGTTGGGAGAGAGATAGTGGAGAGACATCGTGGATTTAGCAAAGTTGTATAATATACGGTGTTAGTGTGAGAGAAAGAATAGAAAGTAGGAGAGAGAAAAATATTTGACAACGTATTTAAAGGCTTAAAGATAGGAAGTGACCATAAATAAATAATTTGCTATAAAACCTAAAAGGTAGTTATAGAAAATAATTTTTTAAAAAGATATTTATTTAAAATAAAAAATAAGGTGTAAATATTTTCTATAGGAGGTAAAATTTCCAAAAAAAAAAAAAGAAGAATTATACAGACAAATTTTAGAAAACCCTACTTCTCAATTTATTCTCTCCCATGACTCAATTGCATCTGGTTTCCGCACGAAAAAAAGAGCACCAAACGCTAACCTCCTTCGACGACTGCAATTTCAAAAACACTCTCTCATCAATCTTTTTGCTATGAACTTGAAATTCATTATTGAATAGACAAATCAGATTGCAAACAAACAAAATGCAGAATTATTTTTTGTTATTAAAAAATGGAGATATATACTTACACGTATATGCACATGTATCATACATTTGGGGTCAATCTTTTTCGATGGGTAGATTTATCCTCTCTTCTTCTTTTTTCCTCCGCGTTTTTCTTTCGTTTTTGATTGAAAAAATAGTCCTAATTCTCATCTTGTATATTAATGTATTTCTACCATCTATATTTGTGTGAATCCATAAGAAATTATGTGTTATACACTGAGATATACAAAAAAAAAAATTAATATATGTTTTGATATAAAAAATGGCAAAATACATAAACAGTCCCTCCAAGTTGTTCATAACGGTCATTTGAACACCTTAACTGATTTCTTTTTCATTTTAACATTTCAAGTGGCTATTAAATGTATCTCGTGAACACCCGAGTCTGGCAGACTATATGTGTGAGTTGCCTCGCCAGTGACATGTCAAATGAACCAATTAAAAAATGACATGTGTAGTTTATAATAAAAATTTTGATAAATATAAACTAAATACATTAAAAAAATCTTTTTTTATTAATTAGCCACCCACCCCCTCTCTTCATCTTCTTCCTTCTCACTCCCTCTCTCGCCCCC